TCCCATTTGATGCATTGCGGAGATTTCTCACCACTAACATAAAATATACAGTCATCCTAAATTGATAACTAGGCTCCAATGAATGTGCTGATACAGGGGAACAGATACCCTGTTATGATACAGTGGAGAGCATATCCGTTTCTCAGTATCTGCATGGTTAAGGAGGTTTCCTTCCCTGAGCAAGATAAGAGCTGGAAAATATGACCTTGCAGTGCCAGGACGTCAGCGTGTGGTGTGCGCAGCTGAAGCAGTGCACGGCAGCCTCCCTGCTTTATTGCCACGTGTACTAGAGCGTTTATGCGGCGCTGGTTCTCATCGAAAGGTCGGGTTGTCTCTAGGTCAGCCGGCACCTCATCAAAGCTCTAATTCTCAAAGAAGATTGTCATTTCCATCAAAGCTTCTGCTATAATTCTAGTGGCAAAGAAATTGTGAATGCTCACTAAAGACAAACCAAGCACCACATTGTTTTACATTTCCCCAAACCACAGCAATAGCCAGTTGTGCTACACATTTGAGCATCTATTTAGTTATAAAAAATAAAAAAGCATTATCATGTCCTGAGGTATTAAATAATTTTTCTTTCTTTGATTCCCTTTTTTTCTCCTAGTTTTGCTCCTATGAGGCATTTCTTGCCTTTGCCAATTCTTAAATTGTAGGTTAGCCCAGCTGGCACGGCTCAGTGGTTGAACATTGACCTAGGATCCCAGAGATCACAGTTTGATTCCCGGTCAGGGCACATGCCCGGGTTGTGGGCTCCATCTCCAGTAGGGGGCGTGCTGGAGGCAGCCAATCAATGACTCTCATCATTGATGTTTCTCTCTCTCTCTCTCCCTCTCCCTTCCTCTCTCTGAAGTCAATAAAAATATTTTTAAAAATTATAGTTTAACTCTCTGCATCAAGATTACTAGTGATTTTGCTACGGTGTAAGATAAAATTAGAAATCTATTTTTAGACTCTATAAACAAAAATTAAAATTTTGTATATGGGAAAATAAAAATCTGTATATTAATGTTAAAAAATTACTGGTTTCTCTTCTAAAGCAACATTACCTTAACTCTGCTGATTTCGAATCATTCATGTGGCCTTTTTTCTCTCTCTCTTAACGGGCCCTTCTTTGCTAAGTATCAGAAGTCACCTGCTTCTTTCCTTTGGAAAACTTCATCTAGCTAGCGTTGCAACTCTGTCCTCTGAGAAAACTACAGAATGGAATAAAGAAGCTGGGGTAATGGAGGGGAGATTTAGACAGAAGGAAACAGTGAGTTCTCATTGTCTGTAGTGGTTCAAATAAATGCAGATCTCATTATGCTTGGTATCATTTATTTCCTGTCTCACTGGTCTACAAAAAAATGACTCTTTTCTCCTGAAGAAGAAGCACGTTATGGTCATGAGAGCAACAGTCATCTGTTTTCATAACAACAGCTCCCTGGTGGTTAGAAAGCTGGTGAAGTTATGACTTTTGTCTATGAACCTAAATTTAAAATGACAATATTAGCATTTCCTAGAAGCTATATACTATTACAAATTTCCAACACAGAGTTTTAGAGAACAAAAGCAACACAATTGTCATGTTTTAAAACTGATGTAAAAAAAATAGATTTTAGCAGGCAAAATAAATATATGACTAACAAATTGAGAATCGGAAGACATACAGAGAAGAGGAGTGTGATTTTCTGCTATGAATCTGGAATTAACACTCACCACCTTACTTTCCACCTAGCACTAGAGTTTTCAGGGAAATTCCAACTAACAGCGCTAGATGTGTCTTAGATGTATAGGTCGTGGGGAGGGGAAAGAGCCCTTCAGTAGCAGAGATTAGAAAAGCTGAGCTCCAGTTTCGACTCTGTGACAGTGGATGACTGGAAGCAAGTTACCATCTGGGCCTTAGTTTCCTCAACTGCAAAATAACAGTATTCTTAACTTTAGCATTTTATCTTTCTATAATATACCTGGATATGAAAGCACTCTAGATAGCATAAGGAAAGGGAAGTGCTTGTCACAAGTAGCAATTGAAAATGTGTCTTATTGGCTTGTCTAGAAAAATCACTGTTCAGCTGAGTTAACCATCCTTAAGGAAAAAAATGTTTTTACCTAAATTTTTTTCTTTTTAATGTAATGAGCATCCTTTAGCACCAGCATTATCTACTGATGGCAATGGCTGGCCCATTTTGTCTAGCAAGCCTCTTTAACAATGCCTCATAATTTAAATCAATTACCTGTTGTGAATGCTTCAAGTAAACAGTGATGGGGAAGGGGTAAATAACATGGATATGTGGAGTAAACCAATTCACACTATGCTTTTATTTCTTTGTTTTAAGAAAGAGCCTGTACTATCACAATCAACCAACTGGCATTTAAAGTCATAATATAAAAAAAATATCATTTTTAACCCAAAATTAAAATAAAATAAAATAAATGAAGGCCCAAATTTATGTGTGTGGGTGTGTGGGTGTGAATTTACCTTTTCAAAATGGTTACTGATATGTAAAATCACAGCCTTACCTTGCATAAAGCAGGAGACCGGAGAAGATTAAAAACTGATGGAAGATTCTACTGGATTCTTTGAGAATTTCATTTCCTTTGTCTGCAGAGTTAATTTCTTAGTATAATCTACAAAAACTGATAGTTTCGTCCAAAAAAATCAAAGGAAAGAAAGGTAGAGTTTTAAAAATACCTATAATGATGAAAATTTTGTTCAGAGGTTCTTAAACCGGAGTCCTGGCTTTTGGAGATTGTGGGCCCCTAAGATTGTCTGTATATTTTACATGTGTATCATAATATTCTTTTTTAATCATGTCTTCCAAAAGATACATTCCCTAAATCAGATTAATTGACTACTGATCTAGTCCAAATGAGAAATCCCAGAGTGAGGAGCAGTTTGCCGTAGTCACACCATTAGCCAGGGACATTGCAAGCCCCAGAGCACAAATCCCTACGGCTGCTGCTCATGCTGGTGTTTCTGCAGCTTGCATTCTCTGGTGAAGAAATTCTAACTGCTGAATTTGTTGTGACAGTAAAGTGAATTTATAGAGATTTTAAGGATATCATTTCAATTTTAACATTTATTGCCACTAAAATTTCTCTTTTAAGACCTATGTGATAAGAATTAGCTAGAGAGAATCCCTCAAAACAAAGCATAGCTCTCTTCTACAGGCATGATGAAGCCCTGGTTTCCACTCCTTTCTACGGAAGCAAAAATTACCTATGTTGACACAACGTCTGGACATCAACTGGAATTTAAAATAGGCAAAAAGTCTCATCTAGAATAGCAGACATACTTACTCAGAAAGATCACTCTTCTTTTGAAAAATCTTCCACCTGCTTTACTGAAATTAGGTGTATTAATATAATCAAATAAATTATCAGTAAAGACTCAGTATTGCATGTCAAGCCTGTAGTAAATTTCTTTTTACTATTTCTTGCTGTTACGTGTTTTCATGAAAATTATCTTTAACTTAGAAAGTGTTGCCAAGATGGACTCTTTATTAAATATGTCTTCAGAGCTAAATCTGCAGGAACATTGCACATTTCCCATGTCTTTTTCTTACCTTCCACAGAAGGGAGAAGAAAGAATTCCAAAGAGAGAAAGAAATATCTGTAGGTAATACGTTTATGGACATTCAGTGCTGGATAGTTTAACATGCTCGATAGTTACTGGTGAATCAGAGAGGGGAAAAATGACAGTAGCATCGATCAATTTACATTGTATCATGCAAACATTTAACAAAGGCAAGACAAGCTATGCTTCTAATTTCAGCAATGTGCTGTATTTGATAGCAACGAATAAATGTCTACAAAACAAAATCACTAAACTGTAAAAATGCCTTAATTCTTAAGGTAGTAAAGTGAATTTTTCCTGTGAGCCAAGAATACAATGGCCAGGGAACATGAACTGATAGGATCACACAGAGTAATCCCAACAATGACTTTAAACTCAGTAACTCCCTACTGAGACCCAGAATACCAGGTGGTACAGCAATAATATGCTTGATTCTGAACTTAAATTTAATAGCTAATGAAGTATTTCATCTTGCATAGGAAGTAAAATACAGATTTCCTGTTAGGGATGTGACTACACTTTCGCTGTCTCCAACATAACCAATGGGTGACAAAAAGATCTTGTATCTGTCTCAGTGCCCAGTGACAGACACGATGCCCTTTAGTCTCAAAGTGCAAATTAAACAAAGTACCTTAGGAGGCTAAAAACTAAGACAAGCTATGCTGGGGGGGAAAGTAAATAAAAGGAATAGAGATCGCCATGCCAAAAAGGGGAAAAAAAAGTATTAGTCTATATAATTTATAGTAATAATAATATTTCCTCATTACTATGCAACAAGAATTGATTAAATAAACTGAGGGTAGCCCAGCCGGTATCAACCCATGCACCAGGAGGTTGCCGATTCAATTCTGGGTCAGGGCACAACCTGGGTTGTGGGCTCAATCCCCAGTAGGGGGCGTGCAGGAGGCAGCTGGTCAATGTTTCTCATCGATGTTTCTCTCTCCCTCTCCCATCCTCTCTCTGAAATCAATAAAAACATATTTAAATATATATATATAAATTGAGGGTAAACACAACTGATTAAATAATTGTGCCTAATGCATGCCAAGGGACCAAAAATTTCCCTAGAGCGAATGGGGGGAGGGGAAGAAAGAAATATATAAAAATAGATACTATATCAACATCTGTAAAGGTATTAAGTAGAGGTATTAGCATCAGCAGTGAGGAAGACTAGATACTGACACAAAGGTACCCGTATCAATAGAGAGTCTTGTGCTGTATCTTCAAACATCTAATATATTTGCCTGGAGCTTTTCTAAGTCCAAGCTACTCTGTTATTCTTATGTAGAAAATGTATTCTGCGTTTCAATGAATTTTTAATTTTGTTCAATCTTGCATTCGTTCAACCAAAAACAATTTAAAGAGGACCATGGCTATCGGCCTCACAGTGAGCCAGTGTAGATCCTCACCAGGGAGTTCTCGAATCTGCCAGAAAAAGCAACAGTGCGTATCTAATAGTTTTAATTCTAGCATTGAAAAGTGAATCATCCCATCAGATATTCTTCAGGGCCTCTTTGGTTTCCAGATTAAACACGTGCTGTGACCTGTTGTCTTGTCTCATTCTCTGCATTTCCATTTTAAATAATCATAAATAAGAAAGCCTTGCTACTCTTTGGCATGACATAACTTTCCATTTCAAAGTGTTAGAAACTGCACCCATTCCTTCTTTAGAGTCCTGGTTTATCGCAAAGGCTTTCAGCTGAAAGACTCTTTATTGTATTCGAATCTTGTCCCGTACGAGTTGTTTTGGTTACTCAATTTACGAAGAGTCGTAGAAATGGACCGGGGGCCACAGCAAAAAACACCAACTGTTTTCCTGGGAAGGAAGAGGGAGAAAATGGAAAATCAGGTGGAAAATCTGGCAGAACATGCCAACGGGTACATTTTCTGAGCATGAGCAAGGTATTAACGACGTTCATTGCTTGCTGCCTGGCCTACAAAAAACCAGTTTTTCAGTTATTTCCAAATGGAAATGATTACCCGGAAGATATTTAATTTACCTCATCGTTTTCGTACTAGAATTGATGATCCAAAGAAGGTAACCGTGAGCACATGGCGGCCTGTTATCAGACAGCGAGGGAGCAGCCTGCCCTCGGCCTGGTCATCACGTGCCACCGCTGGGGACACAACTGAGCCCAGAGCAGCCTCGCAGGGTGTGGTGCCCACTGGACCCCGCCAGAGTGCTCTGTGCTCCGGCAGCTGATTCACACACACTTTCCCTACAGATTCCACGGGTTCCCATGGGCAGTGATGATATGGAAGCGGAAGAAAAGCCATTACCAAGGTGAAAGGATCATTTCAAGTGACTGATTTATATCCACATTGAAATAAAAAGCATATTCATCTGGATACGTCTTTTCTTTCATTTATGCAACTGCAGTAATCGTAACGAATGCTAAGCAGGTTTTATTATTTGCCCATGTAAAATTTTCGTAGATAAATTATACATGTCCCTAACAAAGAGGCTAAATAGATCCCAGAAAATGACAACAATTTCACAGTAATCTTCCTCCGTATTTGTTGGTTTGCCGGAATTCTTCCTAAGATATGACTAACAATTCATATATCTCAGACAAGTACAGTATGGCCTCATTGTCTGAAAATAATTGGTGCTGGGGGAAAAAAAGACAGCGAATTCATTTAAATGGGCACCGAAAATTTATAACAAATACTGAAAAATGGTTTTATTGTAACTTCTCATCTTGAAAAATAAATCAAAGAACTATGAAAATAAAACTTTCGCTTGTAGCCATGACTGAATGATGGGGACTAGACTTACCCTCCAGCATTAGAAACATAGAAAAAGTGATATATGAAACCTATATTTGCAGGAACTGGACCAGAGGCGGGAGAGAACAGTGACCCCTGAGAAAGCTGGGACAGCAACTGCCCAGAGGAGAGCTACCGGCTGCAGCACTGATTAGTGGGCTCACTGAGTTCAGGAGACAAAGAACAAAATTTGTGGAGGCCAAAGGAGGTAGAATTTGGAGGAGAATGTGGAAGGGAAGAGACATCTACTGAAAGAAGCTCTGGAGATCCATAGAGGAGTGTCCTTAAGTCTTGGGCTGAGTACTGACTGGCCCATGGGAGAGGAAATCATCACATGAATCTCGGTAAAGAACTATCAGGGAGCAGTATGTCAAACACAATCCAGAGTTCACACAAGGCTGTGAAGAGTTCACATTCCCACAAGCCAGAATGGGAAGATCTATATATAATACATGGGCAATGGTTAGTGTCCTAAGAAAGGCACCACCTTATTTGCCAAAGGTAGAGTGGATGCTGCTAAAACCAGCCTTAGATTGAAGGCTGCCCTAGACCTACACTAACAAAGCTTGAAAGCAAGCCTCAAAAAACTCAAAACTAAACCCAGGTAACAAAACATGCCAGAAACAAATCCGACAATATTGAAAAGAATAAATAAAAATCTGGCATTTTATATCTGAACTTCATAATGTACAGCATTCAATCAAAAATGACCAGGAATGTATAGAGCAAGAAATCATGAATTATAACTAGGAGTGTTAAGGGCTGAATTGTGCTTCCCTCCCCCAATTCATATGTTGAAGGCCTAACCCCTAGTACTTCAGAATGTGGCTATATTTTGGAGATAGGACCTTTATACATGTGATTAAGTTAAAACGATCCTGTTAGAGTGGATCCTGTTCCAATCTGACTAATGTCTTTATAAGAAGAGGAAACATGGGTATACAAAAAGACATGAGAGGTGCACATGCATAGAAAAAAACTCCATGTGAAGAGGCAGAAAGAAGGCGGTCTGTAAGCCAAGGAGGGAGGTCTCAGAGGAGATCAACCCCACCGGCATTTTGATCTTAGACTCCCAGCCTCTAGAACTGTGAGAAAATAAACTTCAATTTAATCCACTCAGTCTGTGGGATATTGTGATGGAAGCCCTAGCAAACTAACACAAGGGGGAAAGATCGGTCAATAGAAAAAGGCCCAGAATGACAGAAATGATGGAATTATCAGACATGGTCATTGAAACAGTAACGAGAAATATGCTTCCTATGTGCAACGGTAAGCATCCACATGACAAGAAGAGAAACAGAAGATTTTTAAAGGCCTAAATGGAAATTGTAACGATTAAATGCCATATTTAAAATGATAAATATACTGTGGGTTCACAGAAGAACAGGCACTGGAGAAGAAAACATATGTAAACGTGAAGACAGCACATGAATCTATCAAAGTGGAAGCACACACAGAAAAAATATTGAAAAAACAAAAACAACAAAACAAGATAAATCCTCAGTGACCTATGGACAATATCAACTAGTCTAAAATATATGTATCTGTAGCCCCAACAATGACAGATGACAGAGGGAAAAGGGGGGGAACATTCAAGAAATAATTGATCATTTTTCCCCCCAACTGAATGAAAACAAACACACAGACCCAAGAATTTAATGAACCCCAAAAAGAACACACAGAAAGAAAACTGTAGAAGGCAGCTTACAGTAAAACTCTGAAAGCCAGTGACAAAGAAAAACATAAAAGCAACCAAAGGGGAAAAAAGATACATTACAAATAATTATCAGAAGATGAAAAATGGACTTTTTGTCACAAACTACGCAAGTCAGAGGCAATGAAGTGATATTTTCAAAGTGTTGAAAGACAAAAGAAAATGTCACCTATCCTATACCAAGCAAATTCTCTTTTTAAAAAACCAAATTTGAAGATGTTTATTGCATTCTATTTTTGGTGGAAGAAAGCACAACCTACATTTATTTAGCACAACCTTGTGCAGGGCGCAGAGTGGGGCTGGGAAAGAAGGCATGCCTCCTCCTCGGCCATGCCTGGGCACTGACTCATGAGCTGCTCCGCTCTAATTATTTCCTGCACTAGTTGGGTACCACGCTTAACATTTATGAGTTTTCCCCTTTCAGCAGAGGCAGCAATTCCCCATTTCCTTGCAGTACCTTAACAATGTCCAGCCCTCCGACAGGCTGAGGGGAAGGTGGCCAACTGCAGTGTTTTCAGTCCTGCAGAGGCTCATCCTCCAACATACCCAATGTCTCATTTTCAACACCAGTACTGTTTCCTATTTCCAGAATTTGTTCGCTGAATCCACATTTAGCTTCCTGTTTGTTTCCTTTCATAGAGCATCACAGAAGCTTTTTTTGTGATTACTTTGAGCCTTTCCTCTACTTTGGAAGTTTTAGGGCAAATTTATATCTAGTTCTTGAGATGCTTCCAGCTCTTTACCTATGTCAAGTCCTCCTATGAGCTCACCAGAAACATAGAGCTGGGGTGAGGAAGGCCAACTGGAGTAGGTTTTGAGGCCCTGATGAACTTCATCTGAGAAGATATCTAAACTGCTAAACTAAATATTGTGTTATTTGAAAATTTCCACCATCTGCTTGCTGAAACTACAGCATAAACATCATAAACATCCCTTTATAAACATCATGTGGGGACAGCATGAGTTAATTTCTTTAAGGGGAGGTTGAGGTCTTCTTGGGTCTCATTACCACTGGGTGGAAGGGGCCCATGGATGTGTGTTGTCGAACTGTTTTGGTAAACCCTGGGGCATGTGCACCATCTAATCAGTAATTTTGTTTTTTCCAGAATTCTTGAACAACAGAAAGGTGAGAACAGACTAATTTCATATTTTTCAGATACTTCAGGTAGAGCTTCAGCTTCCAACTTCACAAATGAAACTTGGAGGTGTTCTTTGGCTAAGTCTGCCATCACATTGTTCATTTGATCACACTGTGGAGCCCATGGTGCCCAAAAATGGACCACAAGGGGGGACGTGGCTCTGAGGCACAGCAGCTGCTCAAACTGCTGGGCTGAGATGACCTCCAAGGGGCTCCCACCGCCCCAGCCACCACGCTGCTGCAGCCAGACAGCTCTATATCGAGCAAATTGTATATCCCATAAAAACAACTTTCAAAAGCGAAGATGGAATACAAACTTCTCAAACAAAAGGTGAGAGACTTCGCTGCCAGCACTCTATGAGACATCAAAGGAAATACTTCAGGAGGGAGAATGAAATCGAGGGGGGAAATGTGAATTCACCCCAAAAGAATTAAGAGGACCAAAATGGTGAGTCTATGAATAAATGTATCTGTTCTATTTCTTTAAAATATGATAGAAGTTTGAAACAAAAGCAATAACCATACATTATGAAGTTGATAGTATATCTGAAATGAAGACAAATAACAAAAGCCAAAAAGATGCAGGGCTACTGGAAGTACATGCGGTGGTACAGCGTTATCTGCAGTGCACTGTGATGAGCTAACGATGTCCACTGTGAGCCTGAAACGACGTTTCTCCATTTCAGCTTTATCAGAACCACCTGAGAGACTTCACGCACCACAGATAGCTGAGCCGCATCCCTAGAGCTTGAGATTCAGCATTATCTTGGATAGGGCTCAAGAATTTGCTTTTCTAACGACTCCCAGGTAATACTGATCCAAAGAATGCAGTTTGGAAAACAATGCCTTAGAGAAATCACAAAAAGCAAACAAACAGAGAGGTATAGCTAATATGCCAATATAGGAGAGAAAAAATAGAATCACAAAAAATACTCTGTCCAAAAGAAGGTAGATAAAGAAGGGAAAAAAGAGAAAAGACAGAACAAATGAAATAAATAGAAAGCAATAGTAAATTGCTAGATTTAAACCCAACCAAAGGGAGTCAAATATTCAATGAGGAAAAGGTAATCTCTTCAATAAATGGTGTTGGGAAAACTGAATATTTATATGCAAAGGAAATAAAACTGGACCCCTATCTTATACAACTCACAAAATTAGCTCGAAAAGAAATCAAGACTTAAATGTAAGACATGAA